CGCGGGGCGGGGCTCGTGTGACTTCGGCCCCTGTGAGCCCGTAAAGCTCACGTCACCGCTTCTCGCTCCAGCACTCCAGCGGTGCATTCCTGCCGCTGCACGCTCCTGGGGCGCCATGGTGTGGCTTCGCCGCCAACGCTTTATGATGCGAATTCTCTGTGTCTCGTATCTTCCGAGTCCGGGGCGGACGCCCTCCCCGAGGCGTGCACATCTGACCTCGTCTTTGTCTCCCTCTGTCTCTCTCTCTCTCTCTCTGCCTCTCTCTCTCTCTCTCTCCCTCTCTTTCTCTGTCTCTCTCTATCTCTCTCTCTCTCTTCCTCTCTCTCTCTGAAGTTAAACTGCGTCGACTTTTGCCCTCCCCCCGGACTCAACGTCGCCCCCCGGGCCTATGCAAACAGGTTGACGTAATTGCTCCGTGCCCATGCCCCTGCAGGTCCCCACTTTTCAGGCTTCCTCTGGACAGGATCTCCCGCTTCAGGACCCGACATCTTCGAGATGAACTTCGACGCGAACGACATCATCACTGCTCTCTTGCCCCCCCCCGTGAGGACCATCATAGGCTTCGCCAGTGAGGACCGTCATAGGCCTCACACCCCTCGCAGCTGCCATCGTAAGGGCTGCTTGGGGCCCGCCCTCTCCCAACAATCCACCAATACACCAGTACACCATGCCGTCAATAGGCACCGGAGGGGGCCGAGGACCTCCCTACGGCCCCTCGGCCACCGAAGACGGCCGTAGGGAGGGGTCCAAACGTACCTCCAGTCTTACATCTTTACACCAATCAACAAATCAACCAATCAACCAAATCCTCATAGTCCTCATATTCCTCACCTCCTCGTCTTCCTCCTCCTCCTCCTCCTCCTCCTCCTCCTCCTCCTCCTCCTCCTCCTCTTCCTCGTATTCCTCCTCCTCCCCCTCCCCCTCCTCCTCCTCCTCCTCCTCCTCCTCCTCCTCCTCCTCCTCCTCCTCCTCCTCCTCCTCCTCCTCCTCCTCCCCCAGCGCTACGAAGCGTATACACCCCATGCCGAACACCTGCGGACAAAAAACTATGCACGCCACAGTTCGGCCAGAATCGTTGCTCTTATCGCCACCTGCACGCCCACGGACGGTACGCTCCGTGGAAGAGAGCAGGCGAGGAGGAGCCGTGCTCTCCTACCACACAGAGAGAGGAGGCGGAGGACGAGGAGGAGAAGGAGGAGGAAGAGGAGGAGGAGAAGGGAGAGGAGGAGGAGGAGGAGGCGAAGGAGGAGGTTGGAGCGTCATAGGAGGAGGCGAAGGAGGAGGAGGAGGAGGAGGAGGAGGAGGAGAAGGAGGAGAAGGGGGAGGAGGAAGAGACGGATGAGGAGGAGGCCTGAACGTGGGGCCCAGCTGCCCAGCAACTTCATGGGAGAAGCCTGAAGTCGGGTGTTGCTAGAAGTACCCCTGGCCCAAGGTGTCCCCAGCTTTTCGCTCCATTTTGGAGCCCCTAGGGCCCTCTGGGCCTCGTGAGGGGTGCTTTGGAGGCCGTTTGGGCTACCCCGAGAATCCTGGGGTGGGGGCACCTTGGCCCAGGGGCACTTCTAGCAACACCCGATGAAGGACCCTTCTCCCCCTGGCCCCAGGGGGCACGCCTACAAACAGCGGAGCATACACAAGGAGGAGGAGGAGGAGGAGGAGGAGGAGGCAGAAGGCGGAGGAAGCACTGTTTGGGGTCCAACGGTGGCCCCAAGGGTGGTAAAAGGCTGCACAATCCGGCTTCAGGCCGGCTGGTCTCGACATCAGGTGTCATGATCAGCGGCGCAGCAGAGAGAGAGAGAGGGAGGGAGAGAGGGAGGCGCAGCAGAGAGAAGAGAGATAGGGAGAGAAAGAGACGCAGCAGGATGCGCAGCAGAGAGAAGCGAGAGAGGGAGAGCGAGAGATAGAGAGAAATCAGAAAATTCGACCTATGAATAACTACAGACGTGTATCGACATATAGTGCATGTATGAAGCTATATCGAGAATACCGAGAAAGTGGGAACAACGACAACAACAACAACAACAACAACAACAACAACAACAACAACAACAACAACAACAACAACAGCAACTGCAGCAGCAGCAACAACAACAACAACAGCAACATGCGTTGTGTCCTGTGCGTGTATGTGTCCTGTGCGTATATGTGCTGCATGTGTGCTGTGTGTATGTGTGCTACGTGCACAGCTGTATGGGGCCGCGTGTCACATGTCAATGCCGCGCATGTGTTGCATGCGTCTGGGCGGAGTGCAAGGAAGAGGAAGAGGATAGGGGAGGAGGTGAGGATGAGAGGGTGTGTGAGAAACGAGAGTGCGACGCTGCCTTGAGCCTGTTTGAGCCGAGGTGTCTACAGTGAGCTTTGCTGGGTATACTTCTGCCGCTTACACGCTTGCAATGCCAGTACCCATCGGTCGGAAGAAGTAGGTAGAAACATGAAGTAGGAAAGCGTTGAACGTAGATTGGGTGTCCGCCCGCCCCCTAAAGAGGACGGAAAAGGTGAAGCC